ATTATGTGGAAAGGATGCCTATGTATGGGGACTCACACGTAACCTCATAGGACCGAATGATCATATGGAAAGGAAGCCTAAATGTGGGGAATCACACCTAACCATAGAGGATCATATTTAAAATTTAAAATTTACACTAGGAAGGTGCCATGAGGGGCATTCTCCAATACTAGAAGATGAGCGTGAGGAAAGGATGCCTAAGTGTGGGACTCACACCTAACCTCAGAGGTTTGGATGATCATATAGAAAAGAATCCTAAATGTGGGGACTCACACCTAACCATAGAGGATTAGATTTAAGATTTAAAATTTACACTAGGATGGTTCCATGACGGGCATTCTCTAACACTAACGGATAATCCTTAGGAATGGATTCTTAAGTGTGGGGACTCGCACCTAAACTTAGAGGGCTGGATGATCATATGGAAAAGAAGCATAAGTGTGGGGACTCACATCTAACCATAGATAATCAGATTTAAGATTTAAAATTTATACTAGGACGGTGTCACGAGAGGCATTCTTCGACACTAGCGGGTAATCGTGAGATAGCCTACCTAAACCTATAAGGATTTTGGCAAAAATTATCTAACCCAATTTAATTCTAATCCTAAGGAAATGAAGCATGGGTACTCACACCTATCCTTAAAAAACTAGAGAATTTCTTTAAGGTTTTCAATGACTAACCTAGCTAGAAAACACGGGGACTCTCATCAAACTAGGGGAATTGGCCAAGAAGATGGTCTACCTAAACTTCTAAGGATTCTGGCAAAAGTTATCTAACCCAATTTAATTATAATCCTAAAGAAAGGAAGCAGGGGACTCACACCTATCCTTAAAAGACTAGGGAATTTATTTTAGATTTTCAATGACTAACCTAGCTAGAAAGCATGGGGACTCACATCTAACCAAGAGAACTAGCTAAGGAGATAGCCTAGCTAAACCTCTAAGAATTTTGGTAAAATCTATCTAATTTGATTTAATCATAATCCTAAGGAAAGGAAGAACAGGGACTCACACCTATCCTTAAAAGGCTAGAGAAATTTTAATTTTAATATAAATTGGATTTGAAGTTTGAATTTTGAATGAGTTTGATTTGGTTTGAGAATAATTGAAATTTTGATTTCACATAGAGATATGAAATTGGAAGATTGAGTCTTGAAATTCTTTGGATTAAAAATTTGTTTTCTCTTCCATTATAAATGATCTTTATAACATACAAATATTTCACTGTGGATTATATTTTTATATCATATCATCATGTGTGAAGAAAACAAAAGGAGAAAGAGGGTGAGTAGCTTGATTATCTTTGATAAGTAAAAGTTTATCAAAGCATCTCAACCACTGGAGGAGGAATTGTCACGCCCCAAGATCTAACTTGGAAAGAATGTCAATCAACTCAAAAAAATAATATGAATTTTTTAGAGTCTTTTTTTTCAAGATCTAAGAAAACTAAATGCAATATGATAAAATTTTCTTAGAAAAATTTTAACTTTTGAATGAGTTGTTGTAGAACAAGGAGAATATTTGAGCATCCTTTATAGTGAAAGCACCAAGGAATATCAAATACTCACAATGATTGAGAAAAGGTTGATTTTCATCAAAAAATGAAAACTTTGTTTTTCATTTGATAATTTTCTTATAATATTTAAGAGTGATCGCTCAAGTTTTAATCATCTTAACCCAATGAAAATGATAGGTGGGAAAAGATTCTAAAACTCAACGAAGGATGGTTTGACTCCCTCTAAACTAAATAGTTTGAAAATGACCAAAATGAGTTTTAGTCAAATATCCAAAACTTAACAACTTTCTTTGAAGAAAATTATAGTTTCAAATACTTTAAATTTCAATGCTATGGAAAGACTCTTTAACGGGGATAGAGTTTTTTAGACTCTAACATCCGATTCTAATTTATGATAAATTGAAGATATACCTTGAATTGAATTTTATAACTATTTGACGAAGCCATATCATAGAATTTTTCGGGAATATAATCCTTCCAATTCTAACATCAAAGATTATTCAATCATAGACCAGGTCAAATTGTAATTTGATTTTGGTTTGAAGTTTGACAAAGATTCAAATAAAGATATTATCGATATCATTAAGGATAGGACCCCTCATATTCTAACATCTTAGTTCAGTTAATTATAGATTTAAATTTTAACATGATATCTACCCAAGATTGGATGTATAGTGCCATATGGTAGCACCCATCTAGAGGAAGAAGAATGATTAGATATAGGAAAGTGAGGACTAATCTTCCAAGTTGGTATGACACCCCAAGTTAAGATTCTATGGTTTCTTCATTTTAGGTTCAAGGTACGCTTAGTATACTTATTCATGTTGCAATTTGAAGATTCTTTTTATCAACCACATGTTATATCACCAAGGGGCATCTCATAAACCAAAGGTATGGACCTAGTCTAGACTAATATCTGAGAATTACACTCAACTACCATATGAGGGAGAAACTCAATTTGGATTTACAATATAGTATGGTGGTATAAGCCAAGGCTTGTAAAGCTACCTTGGCTATAAGGCCAAAGGGTAAGAAAGGAGGGTTTTTTCTCTATGTAGCGGAGATGACACTAAATAGGGCTTCTAACATGATTGTGTAGAATAAAAAATGCTTGAAAATTTTCTTAATGTGGTAAAGAAGATGCGATGAATATAAAACAATTTGGAAATCTCAATGTGGTAATGTGGTTGATAAGATGGGGTAGAAATAGATATCTTCTCAATGTGGTAGATAATACATCCAAAGAGTAAAACTTATAGGTTGATCATTTGGGATGGAACAAGCCTGGACATCTCCTCAATATGATATACGAGATGTTGAAATGAAACTTACAATTTGATTTTGTATGACCAAGAAAGCCCAATTGTCTTTTCAATATAATAGAGAAGATATTGAGAATATAATAGAGATAATGAATTTCTCATCAATGTAGTCTAGGAGATCCGAGAGGTATGGAATGATGTAAAATGATGTAAAGATAAATGGAAGGTAGGACTTATAGGTTGATTGTGTGGAATCAAGCAAGCTTGAATATCCTCTCAATATAATAAAGAAGATGTACTTAGTAGGACTTACAACTTGGTCATGTATGACCAAGAAAATTAAACTATCTACTTAATGTGGTATAGAAGATAGAAGTAGACTTACATCTTGCATGGACAATGAATATCATCTCATTCACCAAGTTGCTTGTGAAAGTGATGGGCGAGTAACTCCTAAAGAGGAAGGAGATGTACTCATCATAAACTAACTATATAAAGAAGAGGCCTATGTGTGTAGAGCCAATGTCTAGGTTCTATCCTCAGGTATATATATGCTACACTATATATAGACTCATAAGGGCATGACATGATGGACGTTAGTAAGGTAAGATGTTGAACTTGTCTATGTTTATATCACAAATTTGTATTTAGTGTGATGAGCCCATATGCTCAATCTCAATCATTGCTCCAATTGAAATCATAGATCATGTCTTAAATGGGGTCTAATCTATAAAAAATTGGCGAGTCTTCCTATAACCTACTCATCTCTTTAGCTTCTAACCCATATAGTGTGGATATTTTATAGAGCATTCAATGAAATAATAAAACCAATATAAATAAAAGAAAACATAAACAAAAGAGTGTAAATCCCTAATTTGCTTATATTTCTTGTATTGTCTACCTATAATTCCTTGCAAGATGTCAGATAGCATAATAATTGATAATATCATATATGTGCACATAGGTACATAATAATGATATCAAATGATATACAATAATCTCTAACCACAACCTTTAGAATAAAATTAAGTGCAAACAAGCATAATAAAATAACATTAATAAAGTGAATTTTGTATGGTCATAATTCTTGGAACTTATGTGAATGTTATGACATGACATAAGTGGTTTTTTTCTATATAATTATAAAACTTTTTTTCTAGTAACATTTTAACATCATTTTGATACTATATAATCAAAAGAAAAATAAATTTTCTAATATAAACAAAGTATTTTTAAATTAGGGATTGATGCTTTCTTTGAATGACACATGAATCATCTCTCATCATCTTCACTAGTTTTCTTCATCAACAATGAACTCCAAAAATTAGATATATTATTTTTTTAACTATTTCTAAATAGCATGAAATCATATGATTTAAATGTGAAAATAATACAAATAATGAAAAAAAAATTATAAACACATTCGGATACAATCAACAAAATAATTTTCATAAAAAATGAAATGAAAATTCTTCAATATATATAATACATTTATAGATAAGATATCATTTCAGAAAATTATTTATTATAAAAATATAATAAAAGTAGATATATGATTTTTGTGGTATATTATACTACATATCATGTTTTTAACATTAATTAAAAATATAATTTATATCACTAATCAATTTTTAACATTAATACTAAGTTAAGTGTGGCAGAGATGAGGATGCTCAGGTGGATGAGTGGCTTTACCCTTAGAGATAGGATACGAAATGAGCATATATGTAAAAAGGTTGGAGTAGCTCCAGTAGAAGATAAGATTAGAGAAAGTCGTCTTAGATGGTTTGGTCACATAAAACGGCGGCCTTGCGATGACCCGGTTAGGAGAGTAGAGGCATTAGATTTGACTTATGTTAAGAAAGGTAGGGGTAGACCTAAAAAGACTTGGTTAGAAAATATTATGAATGACCTTTCTTTATTAGATTTAAACGAGAATTTGACTTTTAATAGGACATAATGGAAAAAAAGGATTCATGTAGCCGGCCCCACGTAGTGGGATAAAGGCTTGATGTTGTTGTTGTTGTAATCAATTTTTGAATTAATAAAAATAAATTTTAATATTGGGATTTTTTTTTTCTTTCTCATTGTGCTGCTTGCCAGTGATATAAATGACAACTGTTAAATAGTGTTTTTATGTTCTCCACGATAATATAATTAATGCTCAACAGCACATAGCCCGACAACTATGAGACGTCCGCTGAAACAACGCCAAAATTATTAAATTTTATCAGCCGTCCGATCAAACTCACCCATGTTCCCGACAGTTCCGAAGATCAGGCCTTTTACGCGTCTTCTTCTCGCCTCCTTCGTTTCTGAGCTGAGCATCGTGGGAGAATCCGCCAAATTCGGCGAAACATTGTTTGAAGAACCTCTAATTTCTGTATCTCTTTTCTCCTCTTCGGATATAGGCAAAATTTTGAACATTTATTAGCGAGAGAGCAAAGGGAGCAAATAAAACAGAGATGGATTTGATGAGGGTTTTCTTCCTGCAAGCCGCCGCTGTCGTGCTCCTCACAGATCTCATTGCAGCGGATCCTTTCATCTCCGGTGTGGATATCTACTAATTAGAACGTTTTTTTCTTTTTTCTTTTCAAATTTGTTTATTTCGTGGGCTGATTGATTCTTTGATTCGGATTGAATATGATAGGTGGTGTTCTGCAGGGACATGGATCTATAAGCCGGAATCTCTTGCAGGCCAAACAGAGTAAGACATTCTATATTTTATTTTTCTCTATTAAAGATTATCATCCTGTCAATTTAGTCGCCCCGTTTTTTTGCAAACTTGTTAAACGAAAGAAAGTTTTTCCACAATATCCCAGCTTTCGGTAAATTATCCGGCCATGGTTTTTGGCAATGGATCCTGTGGTGGTTGATTAATGAAAAATAAATGCTTTTAAGACCCAAAGGGCTAAACTTGCAATAGCCCTTGTCAATGCGAATTGGTTTACCGTGGATTGTTTTTGTTAGGGAGAGTGAACCAACATTCTGATCAACCACTTGAAGTTATCATGGGAGTCACAAGCTCTTGAATTTTGGCTAAATTTTGATAGAAGGTGACCAATATCCATGAGCGCTTCACATGAACACTCGATCTTTAGCCAAAACCTTCGGTTCTGATATCACTTGTTAGGCAGTCTGCACCAAAGTGGACCAGTTGGCTTGACACATCAATTATCAAATTCATTTTTAACCCAAAAGTTTAAATTTATAGGGTGAGGACCAATTACTTAGTATTTGTATACTAGCATATTTTCAATTATCTGATGTGGGAACCCAACACTTTGATGTGCCTTAACAACCATGTCAAATTCAGCCAACCAACTTGACAAGGACAACCATTTGAGTGTGACTTGCGATTGTTTCAATCTTAGTAGATCTAAGATGCAATGTTCTTTGTGGAATTGGACATGATATTCTTATAATAGGTTTGAATTTTGTTTGTTCCAGATGCCCTGAATTTTTTCATGGGCTTAGTTGGTTTTGTTGTCATTTTTCCAAATTTTATTTTGCAGATGTCTTGTGTGTGGTATATTTAATTATCTGAAAGTAGACTATTTGTCAACAATTCAATTGGGTGGCCAAGTGACTATCTATAGTCATTTTCACAAGTAATACTTGTTAAAAAAACTTGTCCTGGCTTAGTCAAAGATCAAATTCAATCACAATTTGTTGATAAAATTCTATGGATTTTTGTATACCTCATACTTGATTGGATTAAGCAAACTCGCCTATACTATATAAGGGTTTTAATCATCTGTTTTTGTTTGTAGTTTATCGAGCGGAATCTATTGGTTGAGTACTTAATACTTATCCAACATTAATTTTGAGCATTTATCTTAAAATTTTAGAAATATTTGATGACATAAATTTTGTACATGTAAAGCGAGCATCACTTCCATGTGAAATTTGCCATCACCACTCTCAAAATCTCTTATGAGGCTAGTCCTTCCAACAGAACATGATCCATTACAGATTATGCAGAGTCTACACCCCATTACAATGGTATAATTGTCACATATGAAGCTCTCTAGCTTATTCTGTATGATGGTTTAAAGGAATATACACATAATGTTAATTAATGTTAAAGTGTTCTGCATTTTACTGTTTTCAGAGCAGTACATGGAAAAAAAATAGGAGCATATAGTCAAGCTTTGACTCTGTCAATGTTTGCCTTTCCCATCATTTTTTTTAATTTTATTTTTTAAACTATTAGGGAAAACAATACTTTCCCACTAAGGGTCAAGATTAAAATATTATTAGAAAAAAATAAAATGTTGAATCGAAATATGGACTCATTGTTGTGCATCATGCTATAGGTTGATTTAAATAACCTAAGCTTAGTAATGATTTCATTGGACCGAAGATCAATGGTGGAATAAAGTCCTTAAACCAAAGTCTTTGATTGATCCTTTTTAATTATACCCGTTGTTGGAGTATGTTGATTTTAATTTTGGAGTATTGCTTTTATGGTCATGTACTTTACCTTAAATTATTCTCATGATATTTATTAAGAACCCATCCAAAATCCTATAACCACAACATCTTTATCTGTTTTCACTCAGGTGAATGAATCCTCAATGGGTTCAAGTGATGGCATTAACCCCACAAAAATGATTGACTCAGAATAATTAAGAATTAAGCACAATCTAATAATCACACATGTGCAGAAGCATATCATTGTAGGGATGGCGTCAAAGCTGAATTTATTCTCCCTAGATATGACACCAATTACCTTTGTTCTACCATTTGAACTTGGTGGCCCAAAGATCATGATGGTAGGTATCCATTGTTGTTTTACTTGTGGGCTTAAACTCATCCTCCTCAATGATATAAAGACAAAGGTCTTTAAGGAATAATTTTATCTCTCAAACTTATCTCTCTCTCTCTTTTTATATATACACACATACACAAGCTCTAATGATAATCCATATTAGATATCACACTGGAAGCATAGTCAACATCTTATTTGTCATAGTTAAGATATCTCCACGTTGAAATGCCTTCCCCTTAGCATTATATATATATATATACAAATAATCTGGCATGGATATTATTGAATATCTATGTTGCACCAATACACCTATTTATGAAGGTGTGCTGTATCCAATACACCGATACACGGATACGCCTCCGATATTCCACCGATACGTGTCGGATACGCCAAAGACGTATCCAATTAAAATACTATTTAATTTCAAAAGGACACGCGTATCCGATACGTGTGTCCGTTGAAAAAACCAAAAAGAAATCCGAAAAAATAAGACTGTCGATATTTATTTCCGCGGTTGCGGAGCAAAGATTCTCCTTTTCCGAGATGGATTGGTCGTCTTGATGATATGAAAATATTAAAAATTATTAATCTTTCACTTTATGAGCATGAATTAGAAGCTATGATATTTATTGAAGATAATATGGAAGTTCAAAGACAAACCAATGAAGAAGATAATTACATCATTCTTCTATGAAATAGTTGAACTTCATGTGCTAGATAATTTATGTTTATGCTTTTGTTGTTGTTTACTAGACGTTTAACGCTTACTTTTATTTGTATTATAAGCTACAAGGCTACAAATGATGTGGTTGTCAATTTTTTTTTGTAATTTCAAATATTATGTTTTGATTGCTTTCTTAATTTTTATGTATGATTTATAAATTATAATGCCGTGTCCGCACTGTACCCGTATCCTGTATTTTTAAGAATTGACGTGTCCCGTATCCGTATCGTGTCGTATCCGTGTCGCCGTATCCGTATCGATGCAACATAGTTGAATATCATAGAAATGCATGTAACATACTTTTGTATATGCATGCAATAGAAAATTTTATCAACTATAACTGGCAGGCGATGTAATAATCGCTTGCTGATTGAACCTCTTGCAAGTAAACTTATTTATTTATGAGAAAATGCACCAAAGTGTTTTTGAGGCTTTCTGATTAACTCTGGTTGATACCTTGATAACTTTTAATTTCTTTTTTGTCTAGTAGGAAGGTTTGTTCAATCATTACTGTAATATTAGTGTACACAAAATAAAACAAGCTTAAAGATATGACAATTTAGTCATCCTAATTCAAGTTTTAGCAAATGTCAATGTGTGCACAGTGCAGCTCTGAAAGTTATCAGCATGTATATAAAACATTAAATGTGCAAATCATTAGAAATGTTGTTTTATTCCTTCAACTAGAATAGGCATTTGTTTATGTTCTTATGTGATAATAAGAAAGATAATATATCTATCTATCTATCTATATATATATAAACTTCACCATAATTCTATTGCAATTATAAACAAGAAAACGAAGGTTTTCATCCATTATACAAGATACATGTGATCATCAGCCAAGTATTAAGTAATAATAGTCCATTCTGTGTGGGACTCGCCTTCACCATTGGTCCTGCTGGCATGTAAAGTCTTTCATGTTACTGCTGTGTGTCGCGAATGAAGCTTTCTTCTGTGTGTTTGTTTTGAAGGAATATCTACATGTAAAGTCTTTCATGTTAAAGATATCCGATTTTACAATTTGTGTTACATTACATGGAGGAAAAATAGGAGCATGTATTTGAATGCTTTCATGGATCCTTTTCAAAATATATATGAATCATTTTATATAATAAAGAAAACTAACACAATTGCTTAGTCCTGAACAGAAACCTCATTAAAACTGCACAGGAAAATTTTAAGGCCATAAGTGCTTCATCCTGGTGGCAACATTTCTTGTTTTGGGAATTAAGATGAATATTTATGAAATTGATGAGGTTAAACATCCTTTGCTTGGTTCATCTACAAGATATTTTGGACTTTCATTTTTCTCCTGTCTCCATCTTAATTCAATGTTCTTAATCATTTTTCATTCTATGATGCTAAAATTATGGAATTATGTTGTGAAAAATAACATATGTTACAAATGATAATCATCGTTTATAAATTTGATGCAGATAATTAATGATGTTCAATTCAAAGTTCAGAAGTGACCAGCATTTTATTTAACTTGAAGCAGATTATTATATAATCACATCTCATCATGTTTTTAGGCTAACGCAATAATTCTATCATCCCTCCCAGGTTGCCCTATAAACTTTGAATTCATGAACTACAAAATCATCACAGACAAATGCAAAGGACCCCAATACCTTCCTGGTCCTTGCTGTTCTGCCTTGAAGGAATTTGCATGCCCTTATACAGATCAGCTTAATGATCTCACAAATGACTGTGCTACTACCATGTTCAGCTATATAAATCTCTATGGAAAATATCCTCCTGGTCTTTTTGCTTACGAATGTCGCGAAGGGAAGGAAGGTCTTGACTGTTCGGCTTATCTCAACGGAACAGACCATTCTACAAGCTCAGCCAAAATGATTCGAAGCCTCTCCCCTGTAATAGGTACTGTCTTGGGAGTTACTGTGGCTTTGCTCGTTTATTGGAACTGAAGTTAACTTTACATTTCTTGGAGATTCTCATCATAGCAACAGGTTCTGTATTTCAGATGAGTATTCTTTTAACTCAGTATGAGGGCAATTGTTGGCCTGTCTTCAGACAAATTCCGTTGGTCAAAGCTTTTTTTGTGATGAGGAATGTAATATATGTTGTTGGTATTATTTGTTTAAGTTGTTACTTGGGATTTGTTTCAATGGGATGTTTATGTTATTTTGATGGGTTTTGTAATTTCAATATGCTAAAATCCTTTTGGTACATTGTTAAAAGCTTAATGGTTGTGGAGCGCATCCTTTTGGCAAATTTTATATATTGAGTAACTTTGGAATTTTACTGCATGGAGCAACTTATCTGATGTAAAACGTACATGCGAAGATGAGTTACTTGATGAATTTGCATGCTTAATTTTTTTAGAGTACAATAATTATATTCTTAGAGTGATTTTGAACGACAAAATAAAACACAAGGGTGGTAAGACAAGCTTAGATTAAATCATATGTATAGAAGTTAAGACTGTAAACTGATCAATTAATGTGACATTGCATACATGATTGGTTCCAACAAAAATCCCTTTCTTAACAACAAGATTAGTCACTATGTTAGGATCTGCTCAATCAACTTTCTAATTTCTAAGGCATTAGCAGAGAGTAATTAACAAGCTTCTTATGAATCGATTAAACCACATAGTGGGTAAATTAGGAAGGTAAGAGAATAGGGAAGAGTTCACCCAAATCTTGGTCTTGTAACTGTGTGACAGCACTTGGAAAGGTCTCCCAGATTGGATAGTCACTTTCTTTGATTGAATCTTCTCTGGACAGCAGTCTGGATCCGATTTGGAGAGTTGAGACAACAGCTGGAGGATTCCTTAGTAATAGGGAACCACCTTGTAAGCCTTGGACAACAATTACACGTTCCAGATTGTCTGAACATTAGGTTTCAGGTGTTATAAACTCTAAACAACAACCAGGGAGAGTCTGAGCAATGAAGTGATGAATTCAGGGGCTGGCCTGCATGTATGGAGGTGATTAAATCTGCTAGGCAGCAGTTTAAATGACTCATGGGAAGATCGAATAGCAGTTATGTATTAGTGGGTGCTGTAAACAACCTCTAACAGTATTGGGAATCGTTTGGTAGCAAATTAATCCTGCTGAAATCACAGACCGGCAAGCAGTGACTGCCAAAGAAATAGAGGATAACAAGAGATAGGGGGTGGCCAAGGCATGGGAAGATGACACTTGGCTTTGGTGTTAGGGTTTGGGTGGAGGGAAGAGAGGAAGATTAAAATTATCTGAAATTAGGTTCATATTTAGGGCAAGCCGGATCTTGAATCCCTAATTAAGAGGGAGCTTTTGGAGGGAAAGATATTTAAAATTTAAAATCTAAAAGTAAGAGGGAAGGAAATTTAATCCTCCTTAATTGGGGGGTCAATTATGGAAGGCATTGATCAAGATGGGTGGAGGGGTGGGCCGGCCATAGAGGAGGGAGGGAGATGGTGTCTAGATGCGTTGTAAACGGGCCCCTAAGCAATAATTATTGATTGGGGAATAAATCTGACATTAATTTTTAGATTGGGGATTAATTTGGAAGTTTCCTAAGAGGGGATTACATTAATTAGGATGATTTTGAATTCAAAATAATTTTAATTTGGAGTAGCAATCTTTCCAATTTAATACTAACCCAAAAAGGAAACTAATGAAGGCTAATTGATTGAGGCCAATGATGGGGTTGAGCCGGCGGGTGGTTGTTTGGGTGGCCGGCTACTTGCAGGTGGTGGGGGATGGGAAGGTGGGTGGTGGAGGGGGAGGGCTGAGCGGCTAGTGGGTTGGCAATTGGTAGCCGGCGGGAAAGGGGAGGGGAAGGGCTGAATCCATCGGGTTTGGGAGAATGGGGGATGGTCTGCCGGCGGATAGATGTGGAGAAGGGAAGGGGGAAAGAAGATAAAACACAAACCAAGAGCTCACAGTCATGGGCTGTTGGGTACTTCATTTGCCTTCTCCAAAGGCTTCACCACTCTCTCTAGAACTCACAAAGAGATCCAAAACCAAAAGCTGAAATTTTCTTCTCAATATTCATCATCCTTCAATTTAAGAAAGCTAGCCTATAGATAGGCCTCATGAAAAGAAAAATAACAAAGACTAAAATGTCTTTCGGGCTACAATATCACATGATCACTCCTAAGGGTAAAATGGAAAGAAAAGTAATATAAGATAAACTAGTTCATAAGACATCAATAAAATAAAATAAACTCTAGATTGCAGCCATTGATTTTCTGATGTCCTTATCATTATCTATATTAGGGTGTCAATTATTAATCTGACAACAAAATCTGAGTTTGGATCGACCTATTTAACAAACATATCAGGTTCAATTTTTGACCCGTTTGAAAAATCAGATTGGGTTGGATGTATAGTGAGCTTATACAAATATTGTCACATAAGGTAATGTGTTGAACATTAGTTGATTTATGGATGTGGATGCGGAAATTATTGCCGATCTCTTTTAAGATTGGTATGCCAGGGAAGTTCTTTTAGAAAAAAAAGTTGGATTTAAAATTATTCATAGATAACCTTTTTTTTTTTTTTTTAAGAATTAGGGCATAGGGCCCACACGCATCACATAATGCATTATTTGAACTCAAAACCTATTTGTAGCCAAAGCAGCTAATCAGTAAATTAAGGAGAGCTATATATAACATCAAAATTTTTCTAACAATATTAGTTTAGAAATAATAGTTACGTTAGGAAGAAAGAAAATTTATATTGAAAAGCTTAAGGCAATAAGGATAATTTAATGTTAAAAAAAATTCTTCATAATTTTTTTTTTTAAATTGAAGTGTGTTTTTATTATTAGGGGTGTCAATTTCGGGTCGCTGGTCGGGTTCGGGTAAAATCTAGAATTGACCTAACACTATTTGGGCCAACCTTAACCCAACCCATTTTTGCAAGCGGGTCGATTTTTTAAACCCGAATCCGACCCGCTTCGGGTTCAGGTCAACTGAACCCGAACTGCGTAGTGAGTCTCCTTCGTTGTTCCCTCCCAGCTCCCTGGGCAACGTTCTCTTTGCATGACCTGTTGGGGTCGGATCGGAAGTAACAACATTTTGATTGGAAGCATCGAAGCAATGACGGGAGTTCACTCGCAGCCTCATCGACGGATTCATTGATATTCAACTTCGCTCCTTGGATGACGTTCTCTTCCTGTTGGATCGAATGTTACAACATTTTGATTGGAAGCACCAAAGCAATGATGGGAGTTCACTCGTTGCCTCGTCGGCGCCTTCGTTGGTGTTCGACTTCACTCCTTGGAGGCTTGGACAACGTTCTCTTTATGTTGGATCGGAAGTTACAACATTTTGATCTGAAGCAAAGATGTGATTTTGCTCGCTGTGAAGAACTGTTCGCCTCACTGGCTCTTTCGTTGTTGTTCGACTTCGCTCCTTGGATGATGTTCTCTTCCCATCGGATCAGAAGTTACAACATTTTGATAGGAAGCAACGATGGGATTTCGCTCGCTTTGAAAAACTTTCCGCCTCGCTGGCTCCTTCGTTGTTGTTTGACTTCGCTCCTTGGACTACATCCCTTCTGGTCAAATCGGAAGTTAACATTTTGATAGGTAGAAAAGCAACCACGGGAGTTCGTTCGCTGTGAAGGCTAAAGAACTTTCTCCTTTTCGTGTGCTTCATCGGCCAAATCCTTTAAATACATCAATCCGGGTTTATTCCGGGTCATTCTCGGCTTGCCAGGACAACCCGAACCCAACTCGGAATTTGAAATGGGTCAAAATTAAATTAGGACACAAACTCGACCCGCTCGGGTTGATCCGAACCTGAAATTTTTGTGTCGGGTTCGAGTCAGGTTTTCATGTCGTGTCCAATATTAACACCCCTAATTATTATCATCATGTTGGGAGTCATCATCATCAAGATAAAATCATGGAGAAATTTCATTCGTTTATTCTCTTTTTTTATTTAAGAAAGAATATATATATATTGGGAAGATTAATATTATTTTTAATTTAATTTGATAGTGGCAAAAATTTTATGCATCTTAAAAGCATTACATGGTCCTATATTTTTTCCAAATAGATTCGCAAATTTGTCGAGGCTTGTAACAAGTATAGGATTTCTCACCTCTCTCTCTCTCTCTCTCTCTCTCTCTTCTCTCTCTCTCTCTCTCTCTCTCCTCTCTCTCTCTCTCTCTCTCGTCTCCATTCAATAAAAGATTTCAATGCAAGAAAGGAATGTGTAAAAAAGTTGACTATTATCATATATATATATATATATGAAAAGAATTCGTCATCATCAATCAATATTGAAGAAAATTTTTGTTATTTTTATTTTAATTGAGAGGCATAATTTTTGTTGATCTTTGAGGAGATCTTGAATTCTTTCAAGAGATAGAGAGGGAGATGTTCTTGAGAGAAAGAGAGGGAGGGAGAGAGAGACAACAATTGGGGAGGAAAATACCTCAAGCTTCATTAATTTTCCCCAACTCTTACATCAACCCTAAGGCCTCTATTTATAGAGCATTACCAAGTGTGATAAACTCATGAGCAAAAGTCTAAAACTGAAAACAACTCATAACAATCTCCACCTTGAATTAGTTTTACAAAAAAAACCAAAGAAACACTCGTCACAAGAACTCGAACTTTATTACAATCCCACCGATCGGCCCGGACCACCCGTGCGTGCTCCTACCTCGACTTCGCACGATCCACCTGTCCAATCCCAAGTTTGCGACCACTTGCCTCCTGAGGATTCTTGAGCTCAACATGCTCCTATAATTCTCCACCTTGATCGAATTCAAGATTAAGAGTCTCTCTCCGCCTCTACAACTGTATTTCGGACTCCACCTGAATCTAAGACTCCACCTCAAAAGAAGATATGATCTCTTCTTTATTACTGCAAAAGGTAAACCAACTTAAGCATTCATATCCACTTGAATCCACCTAGTACCCGTGCCGGCAAGCTTGCATCAACGTCATCTGGCCGCAAGAAATCCTTGAAATCACGTCTGCCTTCTCAACATAATAGATGACTATGTACCGATGTCACCATGAAATCATCTTCTTGCATAGGACAAATCCCACACAAACAAGCCGCTCAGGACTCTCAAGAATCACAAGCCTTGCACGCCCATGCCTCCGATCTTCTCTGATTTTTTCTCACGTACAAAACCACATGCCAAAACCGGCTTCCCTCTTCAAGCTGCTGTTCTGACGTTGGGATCAAGATTCCAGTGAGGAATTCCAGTCAAACCGTATGTCAAAACACGAATTCTTTTCTTGCGATCAAAAGCTCCTCACAGCTCTCTTTCCCCAACTTGATCAGCAAGAACAGCAAGAAATCCTGCTCCTGTACAAAGTCCGGCTTCATCCATAAGGGCCAACAGCTCGCCTCCTTGAACCGAGAACCACTACCTTCAATCTCCTGCTTGCAACTTTTGATGTCACATGACCTCATCTTTGCAGCTTACCAAGCGACAATATTACCTCGTTCACCGCCGACCCCATTCGGCGACATTGACGGCGACATGGGCCTAAACCCAACAACGGAAGCACTCAGCCAGCCCTCAATCTCCGGAAATCTTTTCTCGTTCAGTGTCGCCTTCGTCGACTACATTGAACCAACTCCGGCTTCCACTTGAAGCCTCCCACCGTCTTCGATCGGACATGTCCCGTGCTGAAGCCACTTCTTACG